TGACGCCTACACTCTGCGCCTTCGGTGAGTTCTCTTAGTCCTCAAAATTTACGTTCTACCATATAGTGAGCTAGATGCTTTTGACAGAAGTGTTTGTAGGAGTGTAAAGGCCGTTACGTCTTCCCAAACTGTATATTCTTGAAGTTATGCATGTTCCGGAGGGGCGGGGGAGCTTCGCTCACATCTGTTGCAATTACCTATATTATAATATAATTCAGTAATCAAAACTGTCTGCAAAATCGCTATATATCAAGAAAATGCTGACTCGATGGAAGTGAAGTTAGTTATTTCGAACCGAAGTAATTCTCACAATTTTCCATTATTCAATGTCGATCTACTGCATCTCCGTGAAGCCACCCCTTCGGTATGACGGCATAAGGATGCCTTATAAGCCAGAAATGACCACCCTGGTCGCTGACAGTCCATTCTGGGACTTAAATTGTAACATATGTGCGCATTGCTGTGGCTCAACCTTCTGCTCGTTGGTCTTTGATATTTAGAAAAGTATATTTTTAGTTGCACTTTGCAGTTACGTAAAGGCAAAATAGTCCCTTGCCCAGCCCCTAACCATTGTACATAGCAATGGCCACCTTTTTACTTTCTTTAGACATAAATCCCTTATCCGAATAAATAGATGAATCGCTAAGGGATCCCCATACGCGACAGCCTAGTTAATATAACATAACTGGCTAAACCAAAAAATAAACTAAAATAAATAAATAATAAACAGAATTTAGCTGGAAGCGGATTTTTCCTTCCAAATAATAAAGCAGAATTTAGCTGGAAGCGGATTTTTCCTCCCAAATAATAAAGCATTGAAGTGGATTCGGACAAAGAAGGTTTGACCCGATGCGTCGAAGGGATGGGGGTCCTTCATCTATCCCGTAACGTCGGAGTATGTTAACCTTTCGAAATTTATTTGTGCCGATTTCAAGGATATAATCATTACCTGACTGGAAGTCAGGTAACATAAATTAGGCGTGAAGTTACTTCACTTCAGTCTTCCTCCGTTATATTTTAGATCATTTGTATGCAATACTTGAGTTAATTGAATGTTTTCTCTTTTAGGTAAACACCAACAAACTCCTTAAAATGAGGTAAGTTTTCGACCCTCTTTAGGAGCGTATGAGTTTACTGGTGATTAGTGTCCCCGCATTGTCCTAGCTAAAGTGGCGTACGAAATCCATAGAATATCTTTATTTACAAGCGAAACACAAATTTACTGATTATCTGGTTAATTGTTTTGTCTACATACACTGACATGTACGCAGAAAAAGCAATCCCTATGCTTGCAACGTAGTAAAAATTTACGAGGAAAGTTCCTATATATTACCTCTTCCTAAAAAACCCTTCAACTTGCACCAGTTACTTCAGCAACTTAGTCGTATCGAAAGAGCGCAAACCAGTTAAAACCTTATGGAGAAAATGAATAAAAGAGAACTGGCATTCAAAAAGCACACAAAGCCTTCTTTACAATCAATTTCTACTTGCTATTTGTTGAATTGTCGAAAGCACTAAGCTAACCATTTTGCTGACTGCCTGCCCCCAGCTCAGCTGACTTCCTCTAATACCTGTTGCTGATCGAATTTAAATTACCTTGGTGGCTTTCAGTAGACCTGTTGGCAAGGAAGCTGCATTGAAAGCCTTCAAAGCGATGGATACGGACAACTCCGGATCAGTGAGCTTCGAGGAATTTCTGGATTCTATAAAACGGGAGGCGACCGAAGAAATTTCTGTATCCAATCTGCGGAAATTTTTCAAAAAGATTGATACGGACAACAATGGTGTGATCAGTCTTGCGGAGTTGGAAGAATTATTTTGTTAAAAATGGGTTTTGTAATCTACTGACGGAGAATACGTTTTGTAGCAGATATTTTTTTGTAAAATTTTAAGTAAAACACTATTAAAAGTGCTTTTTGCGTTCCGATAGAGTTCGTTGAGCTTTTATACCTTGTACAATCGACGTGTGGGTGGTGCTTGACTATTTCGTATGATCCGAACAGTACGGAGGATAGTGATAAGAAATGGATCTCGACCCACAATTATGTGTACAATCGTACAAATACGGTGCCAGAGTTCGGACCGATCGACAGACAGGGTCAGAAAGCCAATGTTCATCCAAATCCAGTGCACTTCTAATGCAGGTACTGCAAGAAGATTTCGTTAATTGAGTTGTGTGGGCTGTCAAATATAACGCCCACGTACGAAATCAGATTTCACTCCTGGCTCAACGTTGTTCTAGAGCAGCCACAAACGAAAAGCAAAACAAGCGTCTGGCATTCGGGCTCGCTGAGTCTAGCCACACAGACTAGAGGATGTGATTACGATCGATAGCGCACTCCTACATTCCTTTAAGATTTACTGGACCAGTGGCGGTGGGATGTCTACTTCCATGAGTGTAATAAATTGTAGAAGAAGAGAGAGAAGACGGTTTTATAGTCAGAATTTTATCTTGTGACTTAGTTACTTACATAAATACGATAAAACATGAGGAGAGGCGTACAATAAGCGAAACGAATATTCTGGTCGGACTTCTATGTGTTCAGGCAAAACATTCGTCGTAGCGTCTTAAGCAGGCGTCTCCAGCGCCGAGGTTCTCGTCTCTATAGGTAAAGAAAAGAAATTAGTATTCTAAAGGATTCCGAGACTGATGTCACATCGAAGAGGATGTCCTATCGAAGAGGATACTTGCATTTGTCATAGGGGGTGACGGAACATGATTCTTGCCTAAAAAGATAGAAGGAGCATTAAGCCTATATGAGTGACAAAATATTAGCAAAAACGGTTTGTAAGGCCCCTCTAGATATCTATCCCCTGCGCCAAACTACTTAACGTTTTTTGCAGTCAAACATTTAATTCTTGGCTAGTGAGCTGAAATTCATACATAATTGTGGTGGAAGTGATCAGGTTAGATTAAATACGATTATGTTTGCTTTAATATGCTAAAATAGAATAAAATTCGACCAACATGAACTTCTGGTGCGCATGTTACGAATGCCAACTAAGGGAAATTCGACTTGATGTAGGCGGAATTTAAGGAAAATAGAAATTTGTCACCTATTGGTGGAAATTAACGAAAAAATTCAATGCTGGGCTCGGAATGACGAAAAAATCCTTCCGTTGTTTGACTCTCTTTCTTCTTTACCACGGCTATTTATTATAAGTCGACAGGATTTTTGCAGCCTCTAAAATCATTCCTGTCCAAATACTTATTAAAAGTTGTCTGGGATCAGGGTAGAAACCTAGTTAGGTCTGGCTTCTGTAGGATGATAATATACACTTGTAGAAAAAGGAAGCCTCGAAAAATCCTGTTAATAAAACTGCAAAAATTAAGAAGATGCAAATCGCACATACCAGTGGAGGTTGATGGCGCTGACCAAACCTCGTCTTCATTGTTCAGTACCGGCGCCGTCTGTACACATTTGTTTTGAGTTTGCTCTAAAACCGCTGGCTGTGGAAGTGACTTCAGAGGGTTCCGGGCCGAATCGCCGCCCCCTACAAGCGGCAGATCGGTTTCACCTGTTTCGCCGGGGTGATTGTTAAAGAA